CATAGCACAAAAGGGCGCTGGCACCACTCCCCCCCCTCCAACTACATTTTCACGGGGAAACTTTCACAAGTAATGTAGATTGAAAAACATACACCAAACGCCAGCTTTTCCACAAGATGCGATATACCGAGCGGATATCCGGACTCAAAACGACATCCACTTTCAATCGCCACTAAACCAAGCATAATAAAGAATTTACCTCAGTAGGGAAACAATCACAAAGCAAGCAAGAAAGCATCAAGAAATGAACCCAAAAAACACTACATAAAACATTCAGAAACGGGAAAACGGGGTCACAAAAAGATCAAAAAGATTAAAATTAAATTGAAATAATGATAAAAACAGGGTAATTTCTTACCACCAACAGTACAGTAGTCTCCGTAGTGAGGCTCTGACGCAACACGTATTTTCGATTTCAATGTTGTCATTTTTGAATCGAAAGGCACATAATCCATTCGGGTTTGCGATTTTGCAGCGAATTCTCCTTCCAACGGAGTGCACAGCGGCACACGCGTAACAATCTGAGAAGCTAATATCCATTAACTCAATAAAACAAAAAACAAGCTAACATATTTGAAGGATAGAAAATCGGGAGCTGGGGCTCAAGAAGAAAAACATGGATAGCACTTATGGCTTAAAGCTTAAGTTTGACATAAACGCCTGAACTGGCTACGTCAAAGGATAGAGAAGTATATCTAGTAACTTCCGTGTAAAGAATGAACCGAGCATGAAGAAGGTGTAAAACGTAATGGAATAAATATAGGAATAAATGAATAAATAATAATAAATAAAGGATAGAGAAGAATTAATTATCGTACTGTGAGAAAACCATGGGGCTATAAAAAGAAAAGGATGATGGCTATTTCCGCAGTGGTTCAGATGATGTCCTGAGCGCCACCAGAAGGAACACTTATCAATTCCGCACTTGGTACCAGAAATTATCGACCAATTGAGCCCCCATATCTCTGTTCATAAGGTGAAGCAAAAAATCAGTCGATAATTTCTGGTGAATCGTCGATGATCGTGGGATGAATTCGGATCTATGCAGCGGGAAAAGACTAGAAATAATGTTCTCATCTAGGGGCATGGCCCATGTTGCGAAAAAAAACTGTCAGGTACGTAAAAAAACAGGTAGCCGATCTTTTAATTATTACCCCTTGGAGAGAAGAAATAAGCTGTTCACTGCGGGTGAGCGGATTCATCCAAGTGCATAAATGAAAAAATTCAAAGTAGAAGAGTAACTTTAAGAAAAGCATGATGAACTCCAAATTGACTCAGAAAAAAAAACTCACTCGGAGGTCTTTCATGAGAGATTCCGAAGTCGCCAGCGATCGCCGCAAAGCATGTCGTGATAGCCGGCTTAGCATAATTACCTAAATCACCTGTCATCTGTCGTAAATAAATACCATTAGTAACTTGTAGTAATAATTCCTATGCTACCATAGAGCAACCGACTGGTTATATCCCCAATTCACTAAAGTATATGAGATAACTCAGAATTTTAGGATATAACAAAACAAAAAGATTCTGGAGAGAGTAGGAGAACTTAGGGAAACTTGTAAATAGAATTAATATACGCTTACTGGATCAAAGAATGTAGGTAAGATAAGAAGTACAACGCTACGACAATGGAACTTTTTCAATGTGATAACGATGAGAGCGAAAATGAAAGCACTTAAGTGTAAGTAAGAGCTGAAACTTCTAATGTCCATGGTCCCAACTCTGCCGCCTGTAGGGAAACAGTTAGGAGGGCTACTAGTAAAGAGGGAGATTATACAAAGATAGCATGAGACCTAATGCCGAACGAAATGAAGCTGGAGCACATAGTAGGAACACTGTTACCGAACTGTTTGCTCCATTTCAATCGAATTTAAGATATTATTCCACTTTCTATTCAATCGCAACGTAAAAAAATCATTAAGTAGAGAAGATTCTAACCTTCAAACGGGGTTACATTTAAAAAAATACACAAAAACCGTACACAGTGCATGAGCATAAAAAAGTCTTTTCAAAAACACAGTTACGAATGGATCTCAGCACAATGATGGGTTGTTTTCGTAAACAAAAAGGAAAACCATGAAAAAGAAATGATGCAACTCAATGAAAACTCCCTTACAACTACTTCTCTCAAGCCATTTCCATACAAATTCCATTAGCTTATGACATTGGAGCCAAAAACGGCACAAAACATGCAGAATGTTATCAACGCTTCACAAATTTCATAATAATTTAAATTGAACAAATTCAAGATACATTGAGAAGTATGCGCCAGTCAGTATCGTTAGCGCATTTGCCGTTCGACGTCTCCTTGGTTCCGATCGATTTCGCACCTCAGCATATCATCGATCACATGGTGTGGTCATCTTTTCTTTTGAGTCAGAGCTTCAGTTCAAAGCAGTTGTTATCTGATTTCTTTAGTTCATGTTTCTGGACAATACTATTTCAAATGGTGGTCTCTCTCATTACGATGTAACTGGTATTGTGTGGGCGGTTCTTTATATAATGGCCTCGATAAGTAGATTGCACTGGTGCTTATTTTATTACTTCCTATTTGAACTTGGAGATTTTCCACTTCAATGAAGTTAAGTGAGGATGCGTGACTGTTTTTCATCAACACGTAAAACATAAAGCATTAGTCATTGGTCGATCGATTCCCCGAATAACAACGACCAAGGCTGCCCCGTAGTGCTGAGGTTGCGAAATTTGCTGCATTCGGGTAGGATTTTCCCTGTTGTTCTGCCACAACATTAACAACAACTACTCCGGTTCATGCGCTATCGATCGCCAAGTCATGACCTGCTTGTTATCCATTCAATAATCCGATTTTAATGATTGAAAACCGTCATCTCTTTACAAAGTCCATTCATTCATCGAAAACGATCTGTACGTAGGTGTATCGGGCCAGGTTCCGTCCAGTATGTTATCGATCACGGATTTTTCGCTTGCCTGCTTCCCGTCAGTTTACATTCCCTTTCAACTGGTATTTACAACGGATTTTCCTTCCACTATGTAGTCATTCTGGCTTCCGTTTGACGTCCTTCGATAATATTCGCGAGTAACGTTGTAGGCCACCCCTATCGTTGCCATTATTTTCTATTGTTTTATAGGTAAAGCTTTTTCGGAGAATGTCGGGAGCTCCGTATAACTACTCCTACATTTTCAAGTATATCATCATTGGTGATATGGGCGTAGGAAAATCATGCCTACTGCACCAATTCACCGAAAAGAAATGTATGTTTGTAGAGGTTTTCATTTTTCTTTGCAAACTTATCAATATAAGGTTTTCTTTTATTTTTCATCCACTGGTTTGTATACTTCAGTGGTGATTCAAATCAATATTTTTCGGAAAAGGAAAGTTTGGCTTTCGCTTTGATTCCTTTAAGTTTGTGGAAGCAGTTTTTCTCATTTTGATGTTTCTAGTTATGGCTGACTGCCCACATACTATTGGTGTCGAGTTCGGAACCCGTATTATTGAGGTCAGTGGACAGAAAATCAAACTACAAATATGGGACACTGCCGGACAGGAGAGGTGCGATAACTCGTAATTCGATTACCATTGGTTTTCGCTCTTCTATAATTATTCATTAAAAAAGCTCCTTGCACTGGGTAACTGGTTGGTGCGCCACTAAAATTAATAAAATTAGTTTCCGATGCGGATTCCGTGTTTTGATCTCATCTTTGCCGCAAGTTATTACGTTGTTGGTGGTCAAATCCTAAAAATAAGGCTCAAGATTTCTGAACAGTAACTCCAAATGACAAGGAAACATCACCAGCCTTACTTCTGGGGGTGAAAATAACTTCCTGTACTACTTTGGGCTATTTTTTCTTCTTTTTTCCGTTACTATTCTGATTTCCTTATTTTCAAAATGAAACAAATTGAGGCTAGCCGCTTTCCTTTATTACCTATTTTGTTTTTTCTCTGCCTTTCTGTGTCCCATTCAAACTCACTGCATCATTTCGCGTTGGCCTTGAACCTTTGAATCTGACTAATGCCTTAGACTCGTCAAAAATTAGTTCTTCTGAGAAGTCATATCAGGTTCTATTCATTCGATTGGCCCTCTTTGTGGTGAGTGTCATAGTTCAAGAAACATTTCCAAGTTTTTTGGCTTCTCTTGGTATTTTTTTCTTTTTCCCCAGAATGCCTCAGATTTCCAAGGTTTCTAGCTTATTCGGCTCGACTTTGTACCACCATTTCTGGAAGTTACCAGAGGCTTGTGTTTGGGCCGAAATCTCCTTCAGCTCTTTTGTCTAGATCTATCTCAGTCTGAACTTATCCTTTATCTGCTACCCATCTGAAGAGGTCAAAGATGTTGTTTGATTGAATATTTGGAGATATGAGGTTATAAATATTTCCTTTTAGTTAGAGTCCTTTAATTTGTTCTGCTTTCTATACTAGTTTTGTTAGGGGTATGCTGCCTAAGCTGATCGATAGGACAGTTTTATTGACGGTAAATAAATTTCCTTATCAGCTATGTAAACATCCGGAGCGACTCTGATTTGTTTTGAATCTCTTGCAAATTTATGTTTGCGATGTTAGGATGTCTGATGTTTTTGATGTGATTTTGCGTGATGGAGTTTCATTATTCCTTGCATGTACAATACTTTGCTGTACCAGTTGTCTTGCAGAGCAACTATCTATTCGGGATGTGGTTAAATGGAGGAACAAGAATAGCTTAATTTGAGTATACATTATACATAATTATACATATTTTACATTGTAGATTTCGGGCTGTAACTCGTTCATACTATCGTGGGGCTGCTGGAGCCCTGATGGTGTACGACATCACAAGACGTTCTACATATAATCACCTGAGCAGCTGGCTCACCGATGCAAGAAATCTCACCAATCCGAATACGGTTTGGAGCTTCTCTTTGTTTGCTTTCTACTTTACTTCAAGGATTTTTTCGATTTGTTCTAAAAACGTTTAGATGAGTAAGTTTTGTTGTGATTTGCACGTGCATCGTTACAGGCCATTTTCTTAATTGGGAATAAATCGGATTTGGAAGGGCAAAGGGATGTACCGTATGAGGAAGCGAAGGCATTTGCTGAGGAAAATGGCTTGACATTCCTTGAATGTTCTGCGAAAACGTAAGTTGTGCTCGTTTATGAAGGTAATCTTGCGTTTTGTTTTTGTACTTTGATGTGTTTTGTATAATTTATGTCTCAAGCTGCCTCGAAATGTCCTAGGTATGATTCATTCTTCCTTCCTTGTTACTTGATTTTGCTGGCCAATAGATCCGTTGCGTTTTTTTTTTGTTTGTTGCTTACGTAAGAAAGTCCGAAGTATCAATTTCGATTGTTGATGCCTTTATGGCAAACGATATTCAGTAGGTAACATTGGCAAAATTTAGGGGTGACAATGTTGAAGACGCTTTTTTGGAAACAGCGAGGAAAATCTATCAAAATGTAAAGGATGGCAGGTAACTAGTTGCTCTCTTGCTCACACCTCCCTTTTACTTTGATTTTTCTTTATTACTTGCTTTTGCATAGATCTTTAACGGTGTATGCAATTTCGGTTGGAACTTCCGTTGCATCTGTAAGGTGTAAGAGAAAGTTGTTCGATGGGAGTGCAATTAAGAATGGGGAAAAAACTTGTACGGACTGTTAACTGACAGTTTCTCCTGTCCTCATTGATCAATGTCATCGCTATGACTGGCGTTGAATTTGCTGCCCTGAAAATGATGATGGATCTTCGCCTTAGTTTCGGGAGCGTATGCTGTCTCTCCCCAAGGGAAATGGGTCTCCTTCCCCCGTGTGCTATTCTTTCTGCATACGCTTTCAAGGAGAGGCCACACCCACGGCTAGCCGGCGAAATAACGCTACCATTAAAACTTCTTGCCATGTTTTTTGCAGTGAAAGACTAAAGCACAGCTGTTTGAAGAGTAGAGTACAATTCAAACGAATAAGCAAAACAGCGCATTGTAATTATGGGCGAGTCTTCTTAGATTGAAATCATCATAATTGGCTTGTCATTAATCATTTTTATAAAGTTGGATGGGCTAAGCGACCATTGGTAAAGTGCTTCTTTGGAAAAGGGCGCAGGCATAAGAGAAAAAGCTGGACCCGGCGTACACCTGAGGATGAAGACGGATGAAAGTTGTCCTTTGAGCAGC